TACACTCAAAGCTTTGATTAAGAGCAAGCTTTAAGCCTTTGACCCCTGGTGCAGCCTTGAAAAAGAGGATTACCACTTGCAGGCAGTGTAAGAATAGTGCCAGTCAGAGAGGAAGATTCCCATGAAAGAGAAGAATATTTATTTTTAAAACCCCGAAGACTGCTATTGCTCACAGTTCTGATTCAATGCTATTTATACCGCTGAGTATTACAAGTCACTAGGATGGAAATCACCTTCATTTCGTCCTTAATCTGATTTCTAAATACTCCCTCCCCAATCTAATTGCAGAATTTGTGGGTTTTTTAGTTGTTTGGGTTTTCTGAACTTGACAATCGTTTGGGTTGAGATTGGGGAAAGGGCTGCTGAGGAAGGAAGACGCACAAAGGAGCGATCCCCATACGTTCAGCTCCTGCTCACCGGATTTTCTGTGGGTTTGTTTTACCGGTTCTTCCTCTGCCCACTCCGAGGAAAGCTCTCGCAGATGGAGACCACACAAAAGCCTTAACGAATCCAGAGAGGTTCCCACTGCCCAAAACACGGATGGGTGGAAGTTTCTGGTCTGTATTATGCAGAAGTTAGGGCCACATTACCACAACATATCTCACAAAGACCTGTATCTATATCAAACCCCTTCCTACCAGAACACCCTCGCAGAATGCTGGCTCCTGCAGAAGTGTCCTTGCTCTAGGACAGCAATATTCCTGTTCACGCCCGCACCGAAAACCCTGTTAATACAGTGTCAAGCCTGTTTTCAAAGCTGTTACATTATTAAACCTTCAAAATTGAAGTTCATTACGAACGAGAGGATTGCACACAGGAGCTATTCCACAGCACCAATCCCCTAGCACAGCTCTATCCTTGGCTTCTTCCAAATCCCCCTAATTAATTTTTTTTTTCAAAGGCCATCAATCTGAAGCAGACAAACATCAGAAAGTCAATTCATTAACATTCCCATATTTCCCCTTATCTTGGACCACTTCTTCTCTTATTAACAGCTAGGAAGATTGGCGTTTCTAAAAATAACCAGCCAGCGCTGGAAGCAAAACTGCAGGGAGCCCTCCCGGACCCCATCCCTCCTCCCAGCCACGCTTCCCAGCCTCGTCCCAGCTCTCCCGAGTCCACGCGGGCCGTTGGCAATCTCGGAGGCAGCCCATGAATCAACATCCAATATAAACTACGAGACGCCGATTACTCAAGTAATTTATTACTTTGAGGGTGACCAAAAGGCTGTTGACACGAGGCAATTAGGGTACTTTAGAGAACCGCTGAACGTGCCCTGAAAGTTTCCCTCTGATTTATTTGCCAGCTCTCCTTAATGCCGTTCATCGCGGGTGAATTTAACACTGCTACGACGCATCACCTTTACTTTTAGAAAGTTCTGACCCTCCGGTGTCTCCCTCGCTGCAAAAGGCGAAGGCAAGAGTCGCAGAGTTTCCTTAAAGCCACGAGGCAGCGTGCTCCAGCAGCCCCGGCAGACGGGGAGATGAGTCACCGGCTGTAACGAACGATTTTATCTCTCGTGGAGACGACAGAAAACAGGTGGTATTAGCTTTAATTTCTACTCACAACCTTGCGATTCCTGGCTGCTGCAGGATGCTTAGGAGAAAAAGATGTCAGGATCAGTCACCCCAAACGGATTATTATGGTCCTACTGATCTCAATCAGGAGGCATTCATGAATTACTCACTCGTTTCTCCATTTGCATGTTGGTATCAAGTGATTTTACAGTACTGCCTGACGGCGAACACCCTGAAATGCGCCGCTGACTCACCGCCGAGGGGGAAGGAGCTGTAACCCTCCTCGAAGCAAGAAACGGGCAAGGACAAGACACAAGACCTGACCTAAACGAAGGGGATGTCTGCATTTACAAGGCAGTGAAACAAGCATTAATTAAAAGTATTGACCAGGTTACAGGAGGGAAGGAAGCGAGAAGAGGCTGGGGACGAAAAGATGATGCTCCAAGTCCTCCAGGGAGTCTGGACAAAAGGGAAATTGGCTCTGGCAGCTAACATGCTCTGCCGGGGAGGAAAACATTTCTGAGCGAGGCTGCAATGGCCACAGCCCGAAAGGTCAGGAAATGTTGAATACTACCTTGATCAGGATGGGCAGCAAATCAGCTGGACAGCAGAGAGGGGTTTCTAATGTCACCCCGCTAAAAGCAGATTAGTCATACGGTGGGTTTTTTATTTTTTTCCTGTTTTTCACAAGCACTCGTAACTGTACCGCCTGGTTTGGATGTTGCACGTAGACACTTTCATCTGAATTTACCTTCATCTGGCTTGAGTTAAATGCATTTCCAACCAGCTTCAAGCCACGCTTCAAGCCAAGGCTGCAGCAAATAATCAGCCAGCGTTTCCCAGATGCCTCCAGACTTACCCAGATCCCTGCTTCAAGCCACGCTTCAAGCCAAGGCTGCGGCAAATAATCAGCCAGTGTTTCCCGGATGCCTCCAGACTTACCCAGCTCCCCAAATTCATTCCCTGGAGGATAAGTGGGGTCCTCACCAGCTGCATGAGCTAGCGATGGGCGTCTGGCCTCACGCATCTGGAGAGACAGGAACATCTCTGGTCTTCAAGGCCAGGCTGGATGAGGCTTTGGGCAACCTGGGCTGGTGGGAGGTGTCCCTGCCCATGGCAGGGGGTGGGACTGGGTGGGCTTTAAGGTCCCTTCCCACCCAAACCATCCTGGGATTCTATGATTAGCAGTGCAGAGCAAGGCTCTGGCACACAGTCGCTTGGGGTCCCTAGGACATGGGCTGTCCCAGCACCACCAGTATGAGATGGCCCTACTCAAAGCCGGGGTAGGAACAGTCACAGATGGTGACAGAATGGTTTGGGTTGGAAGAGACCTTTTTAAAGATCATCTAGCTCAACCCTCCTGCCATGACGACTGCTGCTGATTTCTACGCAAAGCTGCTGATTTCTAACGAGAGCTGAACTTGAACTGATCTTAGAGATGAGCCCTAACCTCTAACGACACTGAAAACCCTTCATGCCGTCCTGTCTTAAAAACACATCAATTCCTTTTTTGAAGAAATCAAAGAAAGAGTTTGCTACTCAGACGTAACGTCCCTAAAAATTGTTAAGAGTACAGAAATCCAACCATCCACCCTGGGACTTGACTGGCAGGAGCCCCGAGAACATTTCAGCCCCATGGACCAGCACTGCCCCACGCAGTCCTGCATCACCACGGAGCAGAGACCCTTCCCCAAAGAGAGAGCTGGCATCTTCCGGCACTATTGAGTTAGCATTCATTAAAACACGCAGCACTAATGAGAGCGAGCCCTACGAGGGATGTCTTCAAAGCCGATCTCCCTTAGCTTCTCTCTGGAAAGTAGTCGAAATTTTGCAATATGTTGGAGACCTCACCTGGTCTGGTTTCCAGATTAAAAATCTATTTTGAAACCAAAATTAGCAAAACCAAGTTTACCCTCCAATGGAGAAAGAACTTCTGGCTGCATTTTTATTTCAGATAAAAGCTACAGGAGAACGGAAATTCAAGCGGTAACATCTCCAAGGAAACAGCTGGAAAACTTGTGGTCTTTGCAGATGCTGTAGCGTTCTGTATTCAAAGACAAATTGTACCATATTGTATTTCACATTCCGAGGCAAAAAATTGAAAAAAAAAAAAAATTGCAGACACGGTCTTAGTAAGATGCCACAAACTGTGCATGCAGCAAAACAAGACTGCTTGAAGAATATCTTCTTCACATCAGCTCGCTAAAATACAGCTAAAATTAGCAATGTGAATGCTTTCACAAATAATTTTTTAGTAATTGCTGTATGTTTTCTATTCTTCTCAACAGAAGTGTTCTTCAGCACAGAGGAATTGCGACCCCCTCTCTCCATGCATCCCAAGCCAAGCTGCGACCAGCAAAACCGAAAGAAATAATTTTCACTTTCGCCTCTCTCCTACCTGAGGAGCGAGGTGGCACGCATGTGTCTTGAGCATACAACATTCCCAGTTCAAACTGACACCCATGCAGCAGCAACAGAGAAAGAAGAGCAGCGTGTATCGTAAGCAAACAAGAAGCAGGGAATCCAGAGAACATACAATTAACTATCTCTAAGCATCTGGCTGCTGCCTGCACGCTGTCCTCACTCACACGCTGGCCCTTGTCACCAGCACTTTGGCATCCTGGGACATTGCACAGCTGGAAACACACAGAGCAGCTCTCCACCTCAGCACTCACCAGCTTGGATCAACGTTGGGGATTTCTGCTTTTCGGGGCTTTTCACTGGGGCAGCAACAGGGTTTTTTTGGTTTTTTATTTTAGAGGTCTATATTACAGCTATTCAGTTGGAGTCCCCCAGCATATGTTAATCTCCCACCACCAAGAGTTTTTCTTCCCATGCACTCCGCCACCTTCCCCAGTTCTTTAACCTAGACGCCTGCAAAAGCTTTCTATAGCTACCCTAGCTGCTAACAGAAGCTAAATTAAGACACAAAGGCAGTCCCGACCTTGCCTTCACACGCACGCAATGAACCGATGCCACTCCCCTTAGTCACAACGCCTTGAAAATGAAACAGGAGCACGGGCTGCGGCTCTTTCTTATATAGCTCCCTTCTTCGCAATAATGCTTAATGTATCCTAAAAGCACATCTGGCCAGCCTAATGGCGGTATTTGCAGAAAGCCTCTCAAATGGAGGCTGGCAATTTTCTATCCTCATCAGCTCCGGAAAGCAGCCGCTCGACAATCACAACGTGCCACGGAGCTAACGCAGCGAGGGTGGAAATAGCAGTGGTGGGAGGAGGAGGACCCCCGTGGCCACGCAGGCTGGCTCCTTCGGTGCTAACGGAGGGATGGTTCCCCGCGGCGTGTCCCCTGGTATGATGCTTACGAGAACAGCATTGTCTGGACAAAGCTACGAAGAAGCATCTGCTGATGCTCGTTCTCTACCTAATATGATGAACGTTCACAGCAGTGGTGTTGGCTGCAGGGGGTTTATTTTCAGATTAAGATATATATATATATAAAAAAGGGATAAAGCAAAAGTACCTGAAATTACAGCAATTTTCCATGACCCGTGCTCCTCCTTGGCTATTCTTTCTGCCTCCTCCATTAGTAACATACCAAATCCCTATAATGGGAGAAATAACAGGAAGAAAAGACAAGTTCAGTAAAAATAGAAAGAATAAGCAAGGTCAGAATGTAAGCATTAGTACAGTTGCAAAAGACTCATATTTTTGGCACGGGAAGGATCTTGTGATCAGGAATATTGCTGAATATTGCAGGAGAGGGCTTGAGAAGAGATATACTAACACGAAGCTTTCAGCGGAGCTTTCTCAGGGATTTTTTTCTGATCGTGAAATTATTCATCGGCCGTTCCAGCGTCTGGCTGCTTCTCAACGGCAGGAACAGAATGAAGTTCAATCCATCGATGGTATAGAATCATTAAGGTTGGAAAAGACCTCAAGGATCATCAAGTCCAACCGTCAACCCAACCCCACCCAACCCACTAACCCATGTCCCCAGGCACCACATCTACACGTTTCTTGACCCCCTCCAGGGATGGTGACTCCACCACTGCCCTGGGCAGCCTGTTCCAATGCCTGAGCACTCTTGCAGTGAAGAAATTTTTTCTAATATCCAGCCTAAACCTCCCCTGGTGCAACTACAAAGGCAACTAATTACAAAGGTCAGTCACCTGGGTGGGCATCCCGTAACTCCTGGCGCTGAGATAACCTATCCTAAACAATCACCCATCTTAACGACGACCTTACTAGACCTGGCTTTGTGCTAGGGCAGTCAACAAAGCCAGAGCACAAATGCCAGACGCCGCCGGATTGCAGAAGGATCCCAGTGCCACTCTGATGGGGAACATCAGTCGTTGTGGCCGGACACTACGGACCCAGGGACAGGCGCTGCTGCTGGTCACCCTTCTGATATACGTGTCACCTTAGCACCTCATCGTCTTTATTTCCACCCCTTTTTCCAGGAGTCAGGAGCTGTTGTGTGCTCGTTTCGGGATGCAGAACTGAGGCACGCAGGGCTTGGCGGGGCTGCCCATTGAGGTTGCATCAACCCGCTGCACGACCCTAGGCTAGGCTCAAGCTCTGTGCTGCTCTCCTAGGCTCCGCTCATGACACAGGAGATGGCAGATCAGAAGGAATCACAGAAGAAGATGTTAATATCCTGGAGCAGATCCATGCCTTTATTTACGTTTGGAAATCTCGCACAGCGGGAGTGCAACTGGAATCACAATAATGCTGCAAAATAAGGGAGCAGCCTTTCCACTCTATTTAACAACGTTGTTGCCCTATATATCTTGGAATAATTGACTGGATTAATTCACTCCTAACCATTAGGATGCAGGAACTATACTCGGCTCTTTGTTCATCTGTTTTCCTGAGAAGATGTACAGAACGGGGCTGTGGCAACGCTGAAGCAGATGCGGTTTAATTCAAAAAAACATTTAACACTTACAGGCATTTTTTAAATAACACACAGAAATCTTCATTCTCAAATGTCCTTCTAATCAGCAATTGCCCCCACAACTGTGAAGAACACTTTCCGATTAACCTCTTGAACGCTGCCTACTCCGAAAGAACACGAGTGCGTCATACGCCATGAAATTTCCATTTGCAGGCTATTTTCATGTTTGTACTTGGCTACTTTAAATTGATTTATTTTTTTTCCAAACACAGTTAGGATGACCGCTTTTTTCTTCCTAGATTTTTAAGTGTTAATTATTTTATAGTGGAAATATCCACTTCTCTTCCCCCCGCCACTGCCTCATGGTCACACATCGTCAGCGTCTACCAAAACTGCATCTTAATGCATACACTCAGGGAAAGATTAATAAATACAAGGAAGTTAATTTAAAACATCCGCCCTGAGCACTTCTGGCGATGAAGACAAACTGATTGCTTTTTTAAAAGCTCAGTCTAAAGGTTCAAAACCTACCGGGGCAAAACTAAATTCCCATTTTTGCTCACTGCAAGCCACAGCATGCTGCATGCAGCAGGAGGATAATGTACCAGCCTCATGCGAGTCGCTGCAAGGAATTAGAAACACTCCGTTCTTCACACGCTTTCAGATAAGTATGAAATGGTCTCACAAGTGTGTCTGAAGCAAAAAACTGTCAGAGACTTTACTCGGGAGTCTCACCAAATCGCTTCGACCGATAAACATCTCGGAACCGGAGCTGGATTTCTTCTGGTTCAATGTATTCAATAAATGTGCCTTTGAAAGAAAACTGGGTAGTACCAAGTAAAATCTCACCTTCCCATATGTAATTAATTCAGAAGTGAAATTTGTCCATCAAACAAGACGAATTTTAGAAGGAAATAAAGAGGCACATGGCTGTATCCCCTTTGTTTTGCTTTCACTCAGTTTGCAGTCAAGTGTAACGTGCCGTACAGTGTATCAAAGGAACGACACTCCAGAAACAAAGATGTTGAGTACTTGGAAGTCAAATTCGCACCAGCATACAGGAACTCATGTTGTACAGGCATGAAGCAACGCCCATAGCACTCAGCCATGCCTTTTTTTTAATCTCAGAGCAGTTGCAATTGCCTGCACAGGATCACCCAAGGGAAAACTCAGCAGCAGCATGATCTCAGCAGGGGAAATGCAAGAAGGGGCTCAGGTTCAATCCTGTTTCTGTTGCAGGGGACTGTAATTCACAGCAACTGGACAAATCGCAGATATTAAATAAAATTATTCTCCAGTTATATGGGGGAGATGGGAGGAGGGTGCAAGAAAGAGGCACAAATGAAAAATGACGATGGCTTGGAGTACCTGGTGCTGAAATTTGGAAGGATCCCGACTGCTGACGGGGACCACGCTCCCGTACACGTGCAGTTCCCGGACAATGGAAACACCTCCTTTCAGCTCAGGTCTGAACGACTCCTCCGAACACTTCCGCAGTCGTAGAAGGCCAACAAGAATATCCTGCTCCGGATCTTCATAGGACAGGAAGGTCTCCCAGCCACCATTAGCAACATAATCTCTTCTGACTAATTCAATCTGGTCAAAGAGAAGAAGCGATGATGAATAGAAAGAGGAAAAGAGAAAAGGAAAACTTATTTTAAAATATTTAAACAACACATTGAACAGACCCAAACCAATTTCATGGATCCACAAACTATTATGATTCAGAAAAAACATGAAGTGCCTTCTTAAAGGCCAATTTAATTCTAGATGGATTTTAGCACTACTGGATAAGAACTGCTGCTACCAAAGACATATTAAAGATAAAACACGCGACTACTTTAATAGAAATTGATTTGCCAATGGGACAGAACTAGCCTTCCATCCCCGTTTGCAAGTCAGAAGCCTAAAACCTATGGTGCTTGAGTTACTCGAGTTCCACAATCGCTGTAAAATCAATGGGGGCAGCAACTCCTGCCTCTAACCAAGGGACTTGCTCTAATGGAAATTCAGCTCCAGTTACAAATGTGCTGATGTAGAATGAGTCGCTCTGCATCTGCCTGCACTAAACCTGGGTTAGGTCCCTGTCTCTTCTGCTTTGCAAAAAAAATGGCTTGAGATGTCTACTGAATATGGGTCTTCTAAGCAGCAGTCAACTTCTTTGCTAATTACCAATTAGTTCTTTCCAGCACCGCACAGGACTTGCCTACATGGGCAAACTGTGCAGAGCAACAGGAGTGGACCTGAGCAATTAGTTCTTTCCAGCACCGCACAGGACCTGCCTACATGGGCAAACTGTGCGGAGCAACAGGAGTGGACCTGAAAGAGTTGATGTTGAGTGAGTAGAGCATTACATGTGCTCTACAGAACCAGCAGGAAGTGTTTTCTTACTCATTCAGATAGTACTAAAGACACAAAACCACCCAGGCAAGTACCCTGCGAACTGACCGGTAACAACACGTTATTGCCTCAAATCCCATTTTTGATAATGATCTAGAAAAGGCAGCTCTGAAGATCACAACAAGTGGAAGGGAAAAATAAAGTGAGAGTTGGCCAACTGTGGAGAATAAAAGACCATGCTTGGGTAGAGGAAATCACTTCTGCAGAGCACCTAGATGCTATAAAGAGTAACTGGTGGATAAGAAAGAAGAATATTTCATGAAATCCTAGAATGGTTTGGGTTGGAAGGGACCTTAAAGATCATCAACTCTGCCATGGGCAGGGACACCTCCCACCAGCCCAGGTTGCCCAAAGCCTCATCCAGCCTGGCCTTGAACCCCTCCAGGGATGGGGCACCCACAGCTTCTCTGGGCACCCTGGGCCACTGCCTCACCCCCCGCCCAGGAAGGCACTTTCTAAATTATCTGAAAGGAACCAGGTTTCTGTGCTTCCTGATGCTTTCACAGAGCGGGACAACTGGAGGATTTGCTTCAAAAGCACACCCCTGATCTGAACGGAAACCATCTCAGAGGTACACCTGCCATCATTCTGACAGACTCCTTTGAGGAATTCAAACATGAACGGCAAGCGCCAGCAGACGCCCTGTGCACCAGGACAGGACTGATCCCACGTATACCTTGCCACGCTCTTCTCAAAACTACTAAAAAGACTCATGCAAAGGACTTCCATTTTTTTTTTTTCCTGCAAATCCTCTAACACCCAGAAATCCATGAATTAAAGATTTGTTTACAGAGAAGCCATAAGGGATTCTGTCGCCTGCCTGCTCTCCTCCACGACGAAGCCTGGGTGAACACAGCTCACAATTAAATCCCTTACTGACTCCAAGGCTCATTTCAACGCTGACGTACGGCTCACGGGTTAAGCACCCGAGCAGATGTCTGCCGAAGTGCCAAGTTCTCCAAGAGCATGACTCCGCTCCCGCTTGTGTGTCAGGATGGCTGACACCTGCTGATCCAGATCTACCGCTAGGTACAGAACTCTGCTAGTAAAATGGAATTGTGCAGGAAAAGAAAAGAGTGTGAGATGTTTAAAATATTCTGCAGTTAGTAACACACGTGGAAAAGCGGTTAGGTTAAAGCTTACTGCTAATTTATAAAAAAAAAGCAGAAAAATTTACTGAACATTGCTATACTAAGAGTTTGAAATGGCAAGATTGGAGAAGTCCTGGTTTCTCCCAAGGAAAAAACAAAACAAGTAGAAAACTCGGCTCCATGGCTTGTCCTCCAGCAGGGACTAGATGCCCTGTTACACCCACATCCAGTCCAAAGGCCCCTTGTAGACAGAGACGAAGCAAGACCTTCACCAGGAGGCTTTACACCGTGTGCATTCTTATAGCATCATAAGCACGTAGCAGATAAGCTGATCTGCTCAGAAAAGTCCCTCCTGGATCCAGACTTTTGTTTTCCCCATTTCCCTGGGCACAGAGGGAATACATAAATCCCCTCCAAGGGTTTGCAGGGACTCTTGAGATGTACAAAGCCCTTTCCTTCTGGGATGCTGGTATAAACACGGCCCAAGCCCGTCTGAATCACCTCCTGGTCGGCTGGTGCAGAGTGAGGTTGTGGTTCCCAGCGTCAGCCCCTCGTCCGTGAGCCATCCCGCGTGCTTGGTGGGAATAACGCTCCTCAGGGTGATCCCGATTTTCACATGCAATCCTATCAAATGTCCAGCACAGTCTGTTTTAAACTTATTTGACAAACAAAGAGGAAAACCCAGTTGCAGGTTACACTCTTAACCTCAAACAGCTACTCCCAGCTCAAAAATCCGCCTTATTCTAAGGCTCTATCATTACCCTGATACAAAACCTCCTGTTTCGCGGGAAGAGCAGCGTCTACGTCTTACACTTCCATACCCGTAACAGAGCTGTCATAGCCCCTCGCCTTTCAAAACCTGTCAATCCACCCTCTCCTTCCAGCACCAATGCACTGGAGCGTTTTTAAGGCTATTACACAGCCCTGCGCAGCCTTAACCACGCGGAGAGCAAGCAAATACCTTCCGCCGCTCCAGAGAAACGCCTCTCATTGAAAAGGCAGCTGAAGAGACAGCTCTGTAAATAACAGGGTAAGTCATCAACTTCAAATTGATTTTTAAAAACCATACTTTTAAAAGCAGACACACCATCACCATTATAAAAAAACCACATCCAGCCCACTGATCCTCCACAGAAAGAAGTTGCACAAAGTGTAACTAATTACAGCAAGCGATTAATTTCTTTTCGATCTGACATGATAGCCTCTCTTATCAAGAGGATGTGTTGTTTACTCACGAAGCCAAGAAAAGCATCATACCTTGTCATTAGTCTAAAGCGCATGAAAAATGATACCATCTTCGGAATATTTCTCGTGCTTGCTGTCACCAGAAATTTTGCGAAGACTACACAATGACATCCTCCTGCCGCCCAGCCAGAGGAGTTTAACAAAGGGAATTTGCAACATAACGTTGCTTTGAAAACCCTTTGATAAGCTATTTGCTAACTACTCCAGAAATTTACAATTTAAATGAGCACTGCCGACATCAGACATCTTTGGAAGATATCTTGTGAGATGACCACAGATGAGATAACGGGAGCGGAGCACAAAAGCGCCACGGCCGGTGTACAAACGAGTCCGTACGGCCTCAGATCTTGCAGAAATCTGAGATACTAGATATCTAGAACTAGATAATTTATTTGGGATCGCCGTACATTTCCATACTGGGTTTCATACTTCCAGGGTATGACTGATTAGCCACAACACCCATGTACACTAAGATGGATCCAACCCTGTGTGATCTTTGAAAGCTCATCTCCTTGGGTGCCAGCCATGGCCATTGACCTCCTGAGAGCTTTCTGGAAGGATTGATCCCTCCTCATAAATACAGCGAACTGGAGGATCAGTGTCCTAAACTGGCTGCTTGAAGTCCAGCAGTGAACATCTTCCTTTCTATAAAATAAGCATACCAGTCTTTTTGTGGGCTATTTTAGGAAGGAAGAATGGATTGAGAGCAGCCCTGAGGAGAAGGACTTCGGGTGCTGGGTGCTGAGAAGCTGAACATGACCCAGCAACGTGCACTGGCAGCCCAGAAACCCCCTGTGTCCTGGGGCATCCCCAGCGGCGTGAGCAGCAGGGCGAGGGAGGGGACTGTCCCCCTCTGCTCCGCTCTGGTGAGACCCCCCTGGGGTGCTGCCCCCAGCTCTGGGGTCCTCAGCACAGGACAGACACGGAGCTGCTGGAGCGGGGCCAGAGGAGCCACGGAGATGGTCCGAGGC